CACTTTGTTCGTTTATTATTTAATTACACCTACCAGTAATACGTCATTACGTCAACACTCTGCTTAATAAACGCCATAAGTTCTCACTATCTGTAATCTTTCTTTATTTTACCATACCCATCTGGCTATCTACCTTAAGTAGGTATAACAAAAATATTTTTAAATTAATACCATTTATGTGGATACTTTATTTATGCTGTAAGCCGTATTATTATTGAACTATTATTATATATTGTTGACCAATGGTCTAAAACACTAAAGTGCAGCTGCAGTGAAAACTGTACATTGGGGAAAAAAATGTCCGAGAGGGTGAACTGTCGATACTTGCCTATCAACTATTCAGACGCGATTGATTAAATAGATTGCCTCATTATAAGATAAATTGTACGATGTGAGATTATACGTTTACCTACGTTACTTGACAGGTCCCGACGTCATCACGAGCCGTTTTAACTATTTGACATCCAAACGACGAATCAGGTAAATGGTTAAAAAAGACCCAATAAAATATAGAAAAAAATTGTTTAAAACTTTAAAATAAATATCTTATTATAAATTATCTACACAATTATATGTTTTGTTTTTATTCATTATTATTATTAAGTTAACAATAAATAAAACAATAAATATGTATTTTTTTTACTCTTATTGCATAGATTACCTAGTCAACAATTTTCAGGATTTAAAGAAAAATGTTCAACACAAATAATAAATCTTTTGAATCAGTGATATAACGAAAACCATCGTACAAAAATAATCTTTCGTCTTAACCAGCTGCAGGTAGACCATAATTTAGAGGGTTATAGGATATGCTACACACTTCTATAATTCGGTACCACCTAATGTTCTTCATTGCCACCGGACTTACGGACTTTCCGTTTACTCGGACTTTTTGACTAATAAATATCGACAAAACGATACTGTATAGCTGTTGTAGTATCTATCCACCTATATTATAGACGCATATGGCATATTATTATTTCAATATAATAGTATCGTAAACTCTCTCGTGCATCATTATTTTGTTTCATTATTATAATTTAATAATAATGAAATCACTGTAGGTGCATGGGTGGGTGTGCTTGTGTGTGTATTATAGGTGGCTAGGGGTGTTTCGACGACGTTTCATCGAGGACCTTTTTGGCGGGGTTGCGCCCGCGGATGATTGTGTCTACGTCGCATAAATCCGCCGAAAGAGATGGTGATCATCACCCGGCACAGTCGAACAAGGGCCCGGGGGCCGAGGATCAAACGTCGTATATACCTAGGGTATAACCTCATTTTATATATTATTATATGCGCTCGCACATGTGTGTATACCAGCTATAAGTATAGTCAGACCCGCCGAAATCTCCTCTCTTTCCCTCGGAAGAAAAAAAAACCACTAGAAAGACATTGCCCGGAGCACTACGTCGGCGGCATACGTTTTTCTTTGTGCGACTCGCCCACTTTGATATATTATTTTGTATTATATTATTTATATTATATTACACGCAGGCATTATTATTATTACGTTTTTTTTTATATATTCATATATAGGTATAGGTACGTTCCAACCGTAAACGCAAGTGAGAACAAAAACATCTATATAGATTTTAATATGCATATTGCATACCCATATCTATATGATAATATATAATGGAGGATATCTGTGCTAGCGTAGTACTGAATGTACATTGTATAATATTATATTATATTATATCCATTACTATACATTATATTATAATACCTATTATAATTATTTTAAATTCTAAATTTTTATTAAATATATTTTTTTTATTACTGAACGTTGCTTTCATATCCGTATAATATATAACCTTTCCTAGATATTTTAAATTAACTACATATAGGTACACTCAAGTATTAAATTTTAACTCATGCATAAAGTTTGTATTTATATTTTAATACTCAATGGTCTAATATACCATATATTATATGATCGAAGGACAGTAAGAGTAGGTGTTAATAGAATTCCGAACGTAGGCCTTATTCATTTGAAAAAATGAACGAGTTTAAATTGTCAGTAATCGGTATGAACACTGATGTTCAACACTGTTATATTTCATCAATCTGGACAATGTTTGCCGTTTGGTGGGAAGTCATAAAATAAGAAGAATGAAAAGCGAGCGCGAATACATATATTAGATTAAGCTGCGTCTTGGTGGTGTGGCGAACATTCTTCAGAGATTAGTCTAATGTTCCACACACCCTCCCAAAATCCGATAAAGGCATTAACTGTCATAAATATAACTACCTGTTGTATAGTAAATACTAAAATACTAGTTAGTACTAAATGATTACCCGTTGGCCTTTAACCACCTTAAAATATTCAAAGGCTGCCGACTCTCGATTATCCCCTTCATCACGCATCTACCTATATATAGGAGCAGTTGATTTCTTATTTTATCCCAGTGGCATAAAGGAAGGGGCATTCTTTTTCTTAATGCAAATTTATTTTTGATTATATAATATTAACACTTTACTTATCCTTCTTTTTATAAGCTAACTTTTTAATTTCTGACCAGTGACAGTATTATGTAGCATCCGCTATCCACACACTCGTATTACCTTGAAAATACTCTCAACCGCTGAACTAAATGATTGAAAAACTCTTACATTTTGGTTAGAACAGCATACGCTCTGTATTTTATCGGCACAATATAGTCGACGGCCTATTTTGATTCATATCAAATTAATTTTATTTTATATTTATTTGGTTGCAATTATATTACTGCAAAATAAACACCTACGCCACTGTTTCGTCTGACCTTTGTATATTATGTATACTGACACAAAAATGCGTTCTATTTACAGTAATTATTTGTGATGATGTAAAATGTGTATAAAATCCGGCTTCTGTGCCAAACTCATAAAAATATTGTGTAATCTAGCTAAAATATATTGTCATGTATGAACGAATGAATTTATGGCATAGGCGTGTGCAGACTTTGTCCTCGGGGGGGGGGGGGGGGTCTTAAAAATGTCTGAACCCAAGATTCCTTGTACAAAGAGGTGACTTCGGAAATGTGAGGTGAATTCGGAAAACACCATGTTTTTCTGTAGATAACGAAAATTTTCAAATATTTTCAAACATTTTGAGCTATTATAAAGACATATGACTTTTCAATTTTTTTTTTAATCGTTAATGCGAAACAGATCTTACATTGGTTACAATAAAAAAAAAAAAAGTATACCTGCAGTACAATATAGTCACGATTTTCACAAGCCACATAAATTAATTTCCCACAAGCGTGTTGACGCGTTTTTTAATAATAACAAATAATATAATAGTATCAAATAAAAACATATTAAATAGATAATACAATAAACGTTTATTTGAGTACCTAATTCATAATTAATGGATTTGCAGAGGGCATAACAATCTTATAAGCTAGGTATAATTTTTTTTCAACAAGCGTTCGAACACGGAACATTATATATTTTTAACTATTAGTGTTGGCCAACGATAAATTTTTAATTATTGATTTAAATTTTTACATAGTTATAATATAATTACATTAAAATGTTTGTATAGTTTATTGAAAGCATATTAAAGTATAGAATACATAAATATTAATATATTATGAGTGTAAATTCATTATCAATTATAAATTATTTTGTACTAACTGAAAAGTATTCATTAACTTTTATACTCTTCAAGTTGTTTCATCGTAGGACTTTGAGTTACTAAATAATCATTTTCGTCATCATCATCCCTATCTATCATTAATGATCGTAATTTATTACGAGGAGAGTGTGCTTCAAAATTGTTTTCATTTTCTAATATTCAGTTTTTATAACTATGTATGTTATAGAACGTGCCAATTTCAAGCGTAACACGCAACAATCGGCGGAATAAACGCTTTGTTCGCTTCCACGTCGAAAGGCACTTGGATTTGGCCTCCACCGTGGTTACCAGTTCTGTTACATCAAGGTGGCGGATTACATTAGGGTTCTCTAGCAAGCTAGCCGTCTGTACTTCAACTATCATTACCCTATTTTTTTTTTTTTTTTTTTAGGTAAAAATGTCCATGTAGGTAATTACAGTATCTTTGACTTTCTGGTAAAAAGGTTATAGGTGCAGCAGCTTACATTTGGCCCTCTTTCATCGGCGGACACAGAGGACGTCCTGTCAAGAGATACTATGAGTTCGGCTGAATGGATAGGGCCAAATGTAAACTCCTACACGAATAACCTTTTTAACTGTAAGTCAAAGATACTGTAATCTCCTCCATGGACATTTTTACCTGAAAATAAAAATATAGTAATATCCTGTATACACTCCAACATTTTATTTGAATACACGATTTTGGAATTGAAAAGCTCAAAAAGCTAAAAATGATAACTTGAAAATAATAATTATAAAAATATATTTGTATAGATAAAATAAAAACACTTGGTTAGTGATTTATTTTAATATGACTTTTATTTAGGTTTTTATTTATATAAGTAGCTGAATTGATATTTGTATAATATATATTAATGTATTGCAAAACAGATATTTTATTTTTTTATGTCGAAAATACGAAAACATATTATTTTTACTGATTTCTTTTTTAACATTATTTAGATATTTTTAAATGTATAACTAAGTCATTTGTTTCTTAAAATTTAATTATGTATTAATTAAACAATTAAAATTGGAGGAAATTATTAAATTTGATAATTTATATGAGTATGCTATGAGGAAACAATAGCGGTACAAGCGGATCCACCTTTTTAAAAATTAATTTGACTGTTTTTTAAAAACGTACTATTATTTTACTATCGTTTGTAGGAGTTAACAATATGTTTTGTCGGAATCAACACTATATTTTGTAGGAATCAACACTATATTTTGTAGGAGTTAACACTATGTCATGTATGATATTACCTATACATTTGTAGGAGTTTACCATTCCCCGAAAATAGCACCGCAATGTTCTGCATCGAGTCACAACGCCGTCTCTGAGGATCCATGAGATCTCTGCTTGACTGCAGTTTAACGTCCGCTTCGGCAGTCAAAACCTGCTGCGGCGACAAGACGGATGTCGCGGGGCCGTGAACCTGACGTCGATGTATCGGACGGCGTCTCCATCGTGAGCTCGGCGGGAACGAGCGTCGTTCTTGTCATATTGACCAGCGAAATGTAACATAGGAATTTTAGACTTGCACAGCTGTTGTCCACGACAATTTGGGCTGAACCACTTGACGGGTCGACCGGACCTGTTGGCTCCGAATCGTCGGCCAACGACACCTGTCGACATCGTCGGTCGACACCGGCTCCTTCGTTGTGTCAGCAGACGTCTTACATAGCCTGCACCGCGATGTTTGACATCGAGCTACATCTGAACGCAGCTCAGGACTGGTGACATGATTGCGACCTTCCAAAGTGATTTCGACAGCTAGTTGACCCGTTCCTTAGATCGCCAAAAACTTTTCGCATTAACTCGGCGGACGGTGATCGGTTCTCAACTTCGGACGACATATTATTCTGTTCCTATTCACCCCATTTACGGTAGTGAATAATAGAGTATTCTGTGATAATAATAAATCATTTGATAACTGATTAATTAATAACTTTATTACATTTATTCACAGATATCTATATCTATACTATGAGATTATAACTGGCTTCACTTTTTTCATGTACAATGTAAAAATGTTCGGTATCTAGTTTAGCATAGATATCTATGTATTTATTAAAAAAAAACTAGGGGCCGCAATCTCCCCCCCCCGTTTGCAAGCCTATGATGGATGGATAGATGGTTAGATAGATGTGAGAAGTAGTTGTCGAGAGGACGACTTCCGCACCATATTATTGCCGTATTATATAAGACAAATACCGATCAGAGTACCTACATATTTCTGTAGAGAGTAATGACCTACTTTTATATTAATTTATCCATTTGAGACATATCATATTATACAAATGCATAAATGTATAGATTATAGTTGCTGGATAGGTATTTCTGGAAATATTAGATTCCGTACCTTTACAGATGATCACAAAACTTTCTGGCAAAACCATTCGGATACCTCTACATCAGTACCTAACCATAGTTTCAAAGTTCATAATAAGCTTACTACATGTTTAATATTAAATTCTATTTAGTAATCACATGCACACACAATAATATAATGTATATATTATGGTGTTACATGGATGTCGTACTTATTATCTGTCAATAATGTAATTGTTAGCACAACCGCGTATACCTAGACATTATACGAACGATTTTACGCTATATATATACATAAAAGCAAAATGTAATTCGTGTTATAAGTAATGCATATGATAAGGTATTTTTTACCCGCCACCTCATAGTTGGGTTTTTTTTTAATGTGCAAGTATAATCATTATTACATATTTTATAATAATATAAATTAAAAACGGCTCTCGAAGTTTCGTTCACGCCGTAGACGGTATATGCACGTAGACAGTCTATTCGTTGTGGATCCAGGGGCGGACTGGCTTCTTTAGAGCGGCCCGGGAATTTTTTTTAAAGTGGCCCAAAAACTATTGTCTAACCTAATTATAACATTTATGTTTAAAATACGACACATTTTTTCCATTGCATATTCAAAATATAAATAATAACAGCAGATATATCATGCGTTTTAGGTAATATATTTAATTTATTGGCTTAAGGAATTAATAATTTAAGAAATGTTTTGCTTTTTTAGGCTAAACGGTCTATAACCGTTTGGTGCTGTATGTAAATTAAAATATTTTTTTCTGTAGCCATTAAGACAAAAGCTTCTAGATTATTCCGTGTCATGCTGTTCCGAGAAGACAATTTCATTCATTTTTATAGTATAAAAAACAATTAAAAATTCAATAAATTAATTCATATTTATTTTATTATTTAAATATGTTGTTGTTGCATACATATTAATATATTATTAATTATAATTTAGTAAAATAATTCACGACTCACATTGTATTGCCATTTGCCGCGCAAACCAAATTTTACAAAATTGTCTAAAATAGTATTATCTTCTATATTTATCTTACCTTTTAAAAGGCGATATCGGGATCGTAAATATTCAAAAGGTACCTACGTGCTTCTTTCCAGTAGTCAATGCAAAATATAAATTAACTATTATTAGTTATTACAATATTACAGACGACAGACTCGTGAACGAAATACGAAAACAGTATATATTATTTTTAAATAATATTATATTGAATTATCGTATACAAACAAATAGTGATACCGCCACTGATACAAACCCAAATGGTTGCCGGATGCGTTATTGGCTATTATTTCTATTTATATAAACTAAAATTATTTTTATAACTGTGTCTTAGAACAACAAAATATAATTTTTGGGATGATTAGGTATTATTGTATTATTTATGTTATATTTTATAGATTTTAAATACACCAAACACTGAATACTATATTATTAAAATTTAAAAATCATAATATAAGTTAGTTATTTGTACAATCAAACTGCCCCGCCCGAGACGGCCTATAATCCCATTATTCGACCGGCCCATCGGGAAATTTCCCGATCTCCCGATCTGCCAGTCCGCCCCTGGTGGATACCATGCAAATAATTTAAGGGACAGTGGGTTTAGTGCTGCCTAAACACTTCAGATGGCTAATGATCAAATAATTATTACTAGCTGAACCTGTAGTGACCGTCGTTGCCCATTTAAAGTCAAACTCTTTATGATTCAAACTTGGTTCAATTCATTATTTTACATTCGGTGTAATGGTGTTCAAAACTTAAAAATGTTCATTGGCCATCTTGCATCTCTAAATACTTGGCAAACCATTTTAAAATGCAAATTTTGAAAAAAATTCCTAGTGTACACTTACATGGTGGTACGAAGGTACTATCAAAATAAATTGTGAGCGTCAATCTGTCATTGTTTAGGCTCTATGTTTATCAATCAGTGTGTCAGTCAGCATAAGTTCCATTATATTATAGCCTTCCCAACAGGCGTTTTCCGTGAACTAGCTTGTGATTATGTGCTAAGTATATTATCATGTAGACAACCCATCTGTGATGGATTGAGGTACCCGCAAAGTGAGTACGTAAGTGTATAGTTTTCAACTCTAAGGTTTCAAAGTTATACCAAGTTGGTCATTTTTACTTAATACAACCTACGGTGGATTTGATACAATGTGCCATCCGGTGGTTTTGGATATATTTGTATAACCTGACTTCGCTGATCAATTCATATAAATTACGGCATTATATATTGGTGTACCTAGGTTTTAGTGTAACCAGATCAGATTGTAATACTCCTGTAAGGTGTAATGCGCCAGAAACCTTCGCGGTAGTGTACTAAACAACTCCCCAAAGTGTTTATATATATAAAAGATTATAAAGATTATCATGAAATCTTATCATGCACAATAATATGTATGATGTATAATATGTTTTGGTCTGATTTCTTTCGTAATAGTTTAAAAACCTTTCTTGGGGTGCCCAAAGCCAGCTACGAAAGTTTAATGGCGATCGGATGAATAGAGTAGGAATGCATTAAGGATAAACAAACAGATATATATATATATATATATATATATATGTATAAATATATATGCACACACACTAAATAAACACCCATTGTTATAATCCATAATAGGTATATTATAATAGTATGATAATATATCCACCAAAATCAGTGTTAATCATAATATAATAAAATTGTTAGTTCTTATTGATCTGGCCACCGCTCTACCTCCAGACAACTGTCAAAAAAATAGCATTAGGAATATAATTTTTACTAAGTTATATCTAATATTTTAGTGTTGGCGTTTGTTGTTACATTGATTTGGAAAAAAACAATAGATTACGTTACCCTATAATTTATTAGGAACAGATTACAACTCTTTGTCCATATTAAATTAAAATACTAAATTTTGAATTTTTTTAGCTCCTCATTAGGATGTTTGCTATTATTTTTCTTTTTAGTGAGACTAACGAACAACAATTTATTTTATATGTAGAGGGATTACGTTACATTAGTCATTAGATTTTCACCAAATAGGAGATACCTATAATAAAAATATAATAACATATTTTTTATGTAATACCTTATTATGACGTACTAATAATATATCAATATTATATATGTTTAATTTCACGAACTATAATGAATATTTTAGAACTATAATAATTATGATTCGATTTTATTTTAGATAGATGATTTTTATTAAACCGAATTCAATTCTCCATCTTCAGTTTTTAGATTCTAAATTATTATTATTATTTTTTTGGTTTCTGAGGCTTTGACAACTGAGGTTATTAGCTTGTGAAACTGTAGGGGCCGTTTTTAACCGTGGGGGAGGGTACTGTAGGTTTTGAACACATGTGTGTTTGTTTTGGCAGAATGTTTAAGTCTGCACCCATAGGTATCTTCCACAGTTGGGGGGTGGCAGCCTCTCTCTCCGGACACCATGACTACCCGAAGAAAAATGCCTTCCGTGGCTGAGTTCGAACCGGCGACGGGGCGTGTCACAATCACTCCGTCCCCCTAAATTATTATTGTTATTCTCTGTAGGTAGTAGGTACCTGTTGTAAACATTCTAAATGATTGTTTTATTTGATTAATATTTATTGAGGAACCTACTTCAAGCTTCGTATAAATAAAATGTAATAATTTGTGTTACACATAAATCTATAATCTAATAGTAGACGTACCTACCTAAATAAATAAATAACAATAAAAAAATATTATATAAAAGCTAGGTATATATCGTTAAAATAAAAATAAAAATAATAAATAAATTGTACAGTAATATAATTGCAGCTAAATAAATATAAGAGAAAATGCAATTTATGTGAAGCAAAATAGGTAACATATTATTATCATTTGTCTAATTCAATCGTCCATGTACTGTCAAATTTATAATAATATATTATGTATATGCTCTTCTAGTAAAAATTTAAAAGTTTTTTAATTATTTAGTTTAGTGGTTGAGAGTATTTTGAAGGTAAAAGGGCGTGGGGATGCTACATAAAACTGTCACTCATCAGAAATTAAAAATTTAGCTTATAAAACGAAAAATAAAAAATTGTATGGTGACGTTGGAATGATGGGATTGAACTAATAAACGTGGACAGGCGGCAAAATGCTGAAATACATATACATGCTGCATGCTTATGGGTATAATATGCAGGGTGCGCCACTGCGTACTCTGTAACTCCAAAAAATGGTCCATTTATATTCCCTCGAGAGTACTTTTTTCCTAATTTTAAAAAATGGCTTTGGAAATAAAGTCTATATAAGAAGTTACAAACGAAT